ATGTCAAGCTAGATCCTCAAATGGAAATCCCTTGCTCGGTATGTAGAGCACCACACAGAATTTTTATTACATAAAATATTAATTATCAGTATTGTTATCTGATCTGTTTTCTTTATAATGTGTGATTATTAGGTTCTTATTAATTTGCAGAACTTAGTGTTACTGATAAGTTATAATTCGGAGGCTTGTTATGGACAATATTCAATTGGCCAGAAGATAATCTGATTCTCTTCCCATTTGCTCAAGTGGATTTCACCTTTTAATCTTATAAAATCTTCTTGGCTTCACAGAGTCATCTGGCCAGATTTTCAATATTTTTTGACACTTGAAAGTTGTCTCTTTATTGCAAGTTCATTTGATAACTATGTAGATCATCAGCAAATTTCTAAATGTTGCTCCCTCCATCCCACTGACATCTCCTTGCTTTGACGTTCCAAAACACGAGTCTTGCTTCAAAAAGGCATTCTTTCATGGTATACACATTATCCTTGTTTCTATGATTACAAGTCACATGATGCTGTGAGCCTAGTTTCCATGTCCCACGCATCACCTTCCTAACTCCTATACTCAGTTTCACCCTACAGAAGTCCCAAACCCCATGGTTCAAAAGCTTAAAATGGAAGTTGATCAATTAAACAGAATGTGAAAACCCATTTAAAAACTGTTCTAAAATAGAGAATGAATGGTTCCAGATTCTTAAGCACTTCACATACACATTATGACTGTAAGATGATGACATGTTCTAGGTCCTGTTTAAATTAGATGACTTTCAATGGCTGACTGTTGAGAAACAGTCAGCAATTTCGCAGTTGAAGGGCCCGAGGCATTGAATGCTCTATGTATAATACAACAACTAGTTAACTGATCAATTGAATTCTTTACTAAAATTCTGAACGATATGAGTGTATAGAACTACTGTTTCTTATAAAGAAACAAAATGAAGAAATAAATGGAGTTTATTTGTATATGCATTGGCGATTGATTATGAAACCTTGGTATCTGATTGCTTGGATTTGCTATAAACTGGATAAAGATTTTCAAGGTTTTTGCTTTGAGTATCTTGCATATTCTGAGAAGGTTTATTAGGTCTGAATACCAGGGATACTTGATGGGATTGCAATGGTACTTGTATTTATAACAGAGAATAGGAATTTGTAGCTTAGTGATCAGAAAGGCAGATTCGGAAAAAAGGAATATAAGAATAGTGGTTCACTGTTTATAACAATCTGGACCTAAAAAAAGTGTATAATCATAGGATGGATCGAGTCATACTCCTCTCTTGCTTCGTAAATACTGATGTGAGATTGTAAGCCAATCAGGATTACTTCTTTTTTGCATGTGTCTGCGCTTAGTAGTTTCCACTGCAAGATTGCTGACAGTCAACTGTTATATTTAGTTCTTTCTATTTTTTGCAGATTATACATGGGAATCAAGCATGTGGGACACATTTTCTTTCATTTCTTCTTCAAGCATATAAAAGAGCATTTCCAGTCTATCTAATTCCTGCATTGATAGTACATCGCCAAGGTCTCCTGAAAAAGTGATTTTGTATCATTGATATCTCTTGATACATTTAAATTTTTCTCCATTTCTGTTGCTTTGGGATATGTGTTGTTAAATTTTGCCTACTTTGTTTTGAAGATTCAGTCTGCAAGGAGCAAATGGTTTACTATGAATGGTCACTAATTGCAGGTTTGAAGCATATGAAATTACATGTTCTTTCAATTATCCGGATATACTCAAGCTCTTTGGCAGTGACTTGTAATCCTCAGCTTTTGCTAAACTGTCAGGATATGATGATTCAGCATGTGATATTGATTACTTAGAATGAGTCTGTGGAGGCCTGCCCCAGCTCCAAATTCATTGATGTCTTCCGGCTTTCTAGATTTTCCAAAATTAAGTATGTTGAGAAGGAAAAAAAAAGAAAAAAAAAAAAGTAGAGAATGACTACAAGAGAAACGATTGTCCTGGTGGTATCATCACTATTTTGCAAGTCTCAATTGCTTCAAAGTGTCCATAACATTTGAAGCCAATTATTTATGTAGTGAAGTTGATTAATAGTGTTGTACTGCAGCCAGGGATGTAATGGTTTGACTTAGTAGCTTCCAAAATGCTTTGCCTTTTCTATAATTCATACATCTTTGAGATAACTATGTATATAAACCAATAGTTCTTCAGAAGAAGTTCCGTGTGTAAAACAAGAAGTTAAAAAATTTACAAAATAAACAAAATAGTGTTTGCACAGAAAAATTGAAATTAGTTATGAAGTGCATAGGGGTGGGCACGGGTCGGTTCGGTTCAGTTCTCTTTAGAATCGAACCGAACCAAACTTTTCGGGTATCTAGTAAATGGAACCGTCGGGTCCAAATATAATTATAGAACCGTTCGGGTTCGATTCCATTCGGTTCGGTTCGGATCGGTTCGGTTCTGTACTATAATTAAATTTTTTAACATTTATAACAACGTTATATAAATACGACTAATGATACATTCAATAGTTTTGGAATGTCAGAGATTAGTAAACTACCTTGTTCAAATGATCGCTACGATCAAAGCTTCAGTCGGGGAAAGTCACGGCTTCGATCGGAGGTCAGAGTGTTGGTCGACGATTGTATAAGTTTTGGAATATTAGATAGACTGCAAGAGTGAGTGCGAGAGTCGAGACAACGTTATGCACTTTATTGTAGGTGTTTAGGGTTATTTAGTGAATTTGATCTTGTTTGGCTAAGAAATGAAACAATAAAATGGGTAATTGGGCCAAAAATAAAAAAATTAGAAATGAAACAAATTATTGGGCCAAAAATTTGGATTTAGAAATCATTAATTTGTTAATTTGTTTAGAAAAAATTAAAATTAAAATAATTTGATTTACTCAATATAAAAAAAATTAGAAAGATTCGGTTCTTATTCGGTTCTTCGGTTCTTGGTCTAGAACCGAGAACCGAACCGTACCCGTCGGTTCTCAATTCAGATACCCGTTCGGATATTTAATTTGACAAGAACCGTCGAGTTCGGATCGGTTCGGTCGGTTTGGTTCGGGAGATTTGCCCAGCCCTAGAAGTGCACACCAAAAAGAGGCCAGTAGGCCACTCTCTCTAAGGTGCCAGGTTTCTTAAAGTGTGTAAATGAGAAAATGAAAATGATGCCCACATCTTGGATCTTTGATGATGGATTGATTGTCCTTGTGAACTACTTGGTTCCTCTCTTCTTTTAATTTTGACCCTTCTATGTGGTGTATTGTACTCAAACTTGATTCAACAACTTCAGAAATGCAGCTCATCCAGTGTAAATTTGTTTACAACTGCAACCTCAGAATTATCGGTGCTTCCCGAAAGAATAGCCAAAGTTCTTTTAATTTCTTAAAGATAGCTATGGTAAAATTTCACGACAAAGGAATCAGACTCAAGGCCCAAATAGTGGACATAATAGAGAAATTTGAATGTTGATGTTATTTCTAATTCAACGTCTTGAGGATTTCCAATCTACTCAAACAGCTAACTAGAATTATGTAAGAATCCTATTGCGTGAAATTAATCCTCCGTTTGGCAAAAATAATAGATCATTTATAATTTATCAAAATTCATTTCAACCACTCATTCCAATGGACCCACGAATACTATTCAGTTACCCACCATTCATTTTTATCTATTTATAAATTAAACCATTTATAAATTCTTCCAATCAGAGGCTAAATTACTAATCATAAAATTCTTTTGATTCCTTTCCAGGAAATCAAATGTGTACACAATATAATCGCAATATTCATCTTATCATATAACCAACTGCAGCACTGTTTAACTGAAATCTTATCAGTTGGTTGATTACTTCATATTTTAAATGTTTACAAAATCAACTGCCTCTTTTTATATTCTCCCACAGTAATCTATTTCTGCTTCATCCATTCTAAAGTTCACTTTCTCACTTCTTGAATTTATGCTCTTGTCGCTTTTTCTAATTTCATAGGCACTCATCTCAATTTTCTTGATGCTGCTGTTTCTACATTCCTGTTGTTTATATCTCTGTTCAAACTTATTCAGGCCTCATACGATCCTATGGAAAGGTTTTCTTGAAAAAAAAAAAAATAGAAAAAAAATTAAATTATATATATATATATATATAGGTCTGGGAAATTAGGCTATAGGAACCACCCTGCTATTGTTGTACCCACCTTTTTTTGGCCATGAGATTGTTGATTGTTCGTGTTTTATTCATGCTGCTTAGGATGCGGGCATGCTTCAGGTATAGGATTTTCAAGAAATGCAACATTCCAATGGTGGCAATGGGAACGGTAAAAAGAGGAGCTCTTTTAATTTTCCATTGACTATCAACCAGATTCTCATCAACACGTCTCTCTCTCTGCGCGTGTGCATAATTTGTAATTTTTATATGCACTTGAAACTATGTTCTTTAACAGTTTCCAACTGGTCTAGCCCTGGCCATTGGGAAGAAGAGTAGGAGGATAGAGATATCACTACACTGCCTTTCTCGAGCTATTGAAAGCTTCTTCACATGCACGGCTGACTTAGGATACTTACCTCAGTCGAAAAACTTAGAAGAGAGCTGATGTTATGGTCTTTGGCATTTCAACTGCAATTGTTATGCACTGTTATGCTATCGAGAGGGATGTCTTTCGATCAAAATACTTGAATGTTCTTGATTGGGTTTTTGGCGTGCCTCTTCCCCCATATGAAACAACCCTGCATAAGAAGACTTGACAAATTATTGCATAGTTTGAGGTCCCAAGGGGGTGCCAGGAATTTAGTTGTTACTTCTTCCCTCGACTAATGAGGTCGACTCTCCTGTGTGACAAATATTACGAGGAATATGACGAGATCACTTGAAATATAAAAAACGATTTCTCTAGCTCTTAGCGTTCTGTTACTCATAAATTTGGTATTTCCTCTTTATGAGTAAATACTAAATACTCTGCATGGTGGTTTGAATTAGGGTAAAAAGCCAGATTTATAAAAGCCAAGTCTTTTCTCAATGAAATTAAAATCCTTCACATTCGTCCCTGTTAGGGCAGCAAACATGCCATAAGAAAAGCCCCTTGAGAACCTAAACATCAATCCTAAAAAGAGAAAATTAGACCTCATCTTCATGAAGCAACATATTTGGAATCCCCTTGTTAACAGGAAATTTACGACCAGTCTCAGGGCAAACTAACGCACCCTCCTCAAGATGAAGCTCAACGAGGGCATGATGGAACTTGCGAAGGAACTCATCAGAGTCGAGCATGGAGGATTCAGCATTCTCGGGTAGCTCAGTGTAGCCCATTGTTCTGGAGGCCTCGACCAGGGCCTTCCATTCAATCTTCGCAAACATGTTCCTCAAGAAGTCTTCTTTGAAATCCGACTGCTTTTCCACTACTTTCTCAACCTCAATCAGCAGAGGAAACCCATTTGTCACACCTTTGATGTTTGATGACAACATGTGGTGGGTTAAAAGCCTCATTGCTAATTTTTCTTCAATTTGGCAACTTTAACCACCTGGAGACACCTTTATACTGGTTGTAGTCCTGTAGAGATTAAATCAACGCATAGTAGTTTCACTGATATACTAAAGACAAATCCGATTTACTTAACTTTTCTAGCTACACCAGTCCATTGAAATAAAAGTAACATCAAGAAAGTCAAAAGTTAATGTCTAAACTAGCAATATGCAAATTCAAAATTTTTCCTCATTTTTTAACCACACTTTCGCCATCAATCTACCATTCCAAAACACATTCTTTCAAAATAATATGGTTCAAACACACACATGTATGTCAATAAAGATCAAAGCAGCATGAAGATGGATCAAAAGAGTATTTGTTTATCGCTTGTGCAAAACTGGATGTGAATAGCTGACAATCCAAATAGGCCACCCAAATAAGGTGGAGCATCAATCACTAGTCCTCTTACTACGAAAACACTCAAAACAGCAGATCAGATGAGAATTTTTCGAGTGCATGTAGAGATATCGTGATCCCGATGCTCTGCCAGAAAGCTTAGTCGGAGACTCTGTTGTTGGAACTTGGATGTGAACACCTAAACATGAAATCCAACCAAGAAGCAAGATAAACGTCTTGAAGCAAAAACAAAAGAAAGGTAAACTACAAGCCTAGAGGAGGTGTTCGCAATTTTACCTACATACATTTTTCCTGCAACACTTTGTTTCACGGGGTGCCTTTCTTCTTGGTACAAAAAGGGACACCGTGCGGCAGTAGTCTGCTCCGCTAGACTACCTTCCGCCTTTTCTCGGTCGCGTCGGGACGAAAGAAAATTTGATTGCAGTTTTGTAGAAAGCTTACAATTGAGAATTTGAATACATTGAAAGTAAATTGAACATTGATTGATGAAAATTGAACATTACAATTGATGAAAGCAGAAAATTACAAATGCTGGTGCAGGGGGCGGACACCAGTGAGCTTGAAAGATTTTTGAAAGACTAATACCCCCTATAATAGCATTCTGAACAAAAACCCAAGTGACGGGAGTAGACGTTTAAAAGACGAGGAATCATACTAATCTTTTACCAATATCAGAGCTATTTTACAATTAAAATAACTATTACAATGAAACGAAAATTACAACTCAAACTTGAAGTAATATTTACAATGTGCGGCCGAAGTTGGGCAAACTGCGGCTGCGATAGTGTCAAGGGGCTAAGTAAAGCTGCGGTCCTTGACA